CTGTTGCAGTGATTCTCAAATGTGTTTGCCTGAGGTGGAATTATACTGCTCTTGCCAGCGGTCCGACTAAGTAATAAGCTCCGATTCCCTCTTGGAAGCTTTTGTTCCCTGTCCGCTTTCCGAATAGCTTTGGAGGATGGGAGTAAAAATGGCAGCCTCCTAATCTCCGGCCTAGAGGAGCCAAGAGCTTGGGGCCCCACTCCTCAATGCGCCCTCAGAGAAATGCAGTCAATCCCTCCCATCTGCCTGGTCTCCGGCTACATTCTGAGCTCACCCGGTGTGTGACCGAGTGTTTCTAGCTCTGGCGCACAGCCCTGTTTGGAGTCTTCAAACCCAGCAGATTCCTACCGTGCTGCTTCTCCCAGAGGAGGAAGGTGAGTCTCCTCAGATCTGGCACTTGTGGGGTCCCTCCTCAAAGAGCAGTGGCCTGACTGTGCCTTGGATCATGTTTTAAGGTAACCCTGATCTGAGAGCTCACTCCTTGCCTCCATCTCTGTAGTCGGCTTCCCCGCTCTGAAACCTGGGAGTTTTGCTACATTCACATACCCTGGTCTTTCTGTGACTCTGCAGCACCCAAGACCACACCATTCCTGTGAGGGCTCCACTGCCCCAGCTTAGACTCTGAAGCGATGTCCCTCAGTGGAGCAGACTTCTAAGTTTTGATTTTGTGCTCTTCTGCTCCATCGCTTGCTGGGAGTCAGCCGCTCCCCCCACAGTCTCTCTTCCCATCACTTTGGATTCACTTCTCAGTATGTCCTATGTTCCAGAAAGTGGTTGATTTTCTGTTCCTAGAATTGTTGCTTTCTTCTCTTCGATCTCCTGTTGTGTTTGTACGTGTTCAGAATGGTTTGATAACTATCTAGCTGAACTTCTGGGACCTGATGTCATTTCAGTCTGCTACTCCTCCACCATCTTGCTAAGATTTTATTTTTCAGTAATCTCCACATCCAATATGGGACTTGAACTCACAACCCCAAAATCAAAAGTTGCATGATCTACCAACTGAGCCAGCTAGGTGCCTCTGAATAACTTTAATTTTCAGAATATTTATGGTTTTCTTTCAGCTTTTTTCTGAGTATATTCTAAAAGTACATATTAATATCTCTTTCCCAATACAACTCTCCCTCTATTCTCTTGATCTAATTTGTTACTAACTTTTTAGAATTTTCTTGACTAAATATTTTTGGTTTTTTTTGTTTTAAACATTTTGCTTTATCCTACAGATCTTCTGGGAGTTTGAATAATGTTATCTCCCTGTTTACACTGCTACCTTGAAGGTGTTTCAGCCTTTTTTCACTGGCAGAGATGTCTTTTGTGACAGATGGCCTCAGTTACAATAACTTGATTTGAGAATTGTATTGTAAGTCATATAGTGGTAAAACAAGATGATTTAATGCTTATCACTAGAATTATAACTGTTTAAAATAAAATCCAGCCTAAGATTTATTCCATGCAGTGGGATAATTTACAAAATAATGTTGATAAATATCACATATATTTGTATAACCTTGACATCTCTGTGTACAGTTCTGTCATCCCATTTAGTGCCTGTGCCAGTTCTGCAGCAGTCATTGACAGGAATCATGGCAATAACTTGGACATTGATGTCCACCAAGCTTCTAGTACATTTACTCTATACATTACCAAAATATAGGTCTTTGATAGGAATTTTAGACCAAAATTTGGTAATTGAAATTAACTAAATTAAAGAATGTTGTGAAACTGAAAATACCTTAATTAGGAAACGAAATATCATAGTAGTAGGGAGAATGAATTTTAGGGTCAGACACAGCTGAGTGGAAGTCCTGGCACTGGTGTTGAGTTTCTTCAGTTGTAAAATTTAGTTATTAGCTTATTTACCCATTCATTCATTCAGGAACTGTGTGTTGAGATGGTTAGTAGGCATAGTTCCAGGCTCTGAGGCTAAAGAAGTGAGTTAGAAGGACAAAGTCCCTGAGTTCAAGGGGCTTACATTTTACTGGGGAGTCAAAGCAAAAAGAAAGAGGATATATAATGTAACATCAGATAGTAATAATTCCTATAAAAAATACTAAAGCAGATTCTGGAATAAGTGATCAGGATAAGAAGCTGGCATTTCAGACATGGCAGTTACTAAAGATTTCTTCAAGGAGGTGATATTTAGAGGAATGGAGGGAGGAATCCATGGAATTGGTGAGAAAGCTTCCATGTAGGGGTGCCTGGGTGGCTCAGTTGGTTAAGCCTCCAATCTTTGTTTCTGCTCAGGTTGGAATCTCAGAGTCATGAGATTGAACCCTGCATTGGGCTCCACACTCAGCACAAAGTCTGCTTGGGATTCTCCGCGCCCCCCATCAGCTCACTCTCTCTTTCTCTCTAAAATAAAAATAGATAAAATCTTTAAAACAAAAGAAAAAAGGTTTTCATATACAGAGAAATGGTTAATTCAAAAGCCTTAATGGATATTTTTGTGAAGGGTAAATGATAATCTGTAAACTCAGCCATAGTTAAGTGCTCATTAGATGTTAGATATTATTTTAAGATAAGCGATGTAGATGATTCTAAGGATCATATGTCTCTTTTCTCTAATAATGCGCATCTTCCTTCTCATCTTGATTATTTTCCTTCTCTTGAATCCTACATTATTCATCCTATTCTCCGATCCTTTAGTCTCCCCTCTTTTTAATCTGTAGCAAGTTAAATTCTTCTTGAAGTACTCAGATGCTACCACTGTTAGAAGGCCCACTTTTCTCATTTTTTGCCCTTTTGCTTAATATTTATATATTGTGCATTCTGTGAAATTGATTATCTTTTACTAATTTATTAGTAAGTACCCACTCTAAGCAAGAAATCCACCATTTCTCTATGATAATGATAATAGAGATATCCCCACCTGTTTTGTGGGGACCTATTGTTGTGTGTGTGTGTGTGTGTGTGTGTGTGAGTGTGTGATAAAAAAATGGTGTCAAGATGCCATTTGTGGGGTGCCTGGGTGGCTCAGTGGGTTAAAGCCTCTGCCTTTGGCTCAGGTCATGATCCCAGGGTCCTGGGATTGAGCCCCTCATCAGGCTCTCTGCTCAGCGGGGAGCCTGCTTCCCCCACCCCTGTCTTTCTCTGCCTCCTCTCTGCCTACTTGTGATCTCTGTCTCTCAAGTAAATAAATTTTAAAAAAAATCTTAAAAATAAAAAGAAGAATCGCTGGTGTATAGTGCTCTTTAAAAAAAAAAAAAAGATGCCATTTGGAAGGTGGTGCTTCCAGGACACCCAGAAAACCCAACCAGCCCCCACACCCATCAGCCACATTTTCCACCCTAGTTTCTATTTCAAACTTCCATAGATGCTTTCAGCAGAGCATAGTGACTATCTACGTCTGTCTCTGGCTGTGAAGCCACTACTAGAGCTTGACCTACTTTTGTTGTATTTTTTTTTTTGCCTTATTTGGCTGTAAAATATTTATTTTTTTTATTTTAGCATCAAGTGTCCAATCAGAGAGCTAAAGCACACATCAATTTGAAGAAGGAAAGTTTATATAAAGAAGTATTAAATGTAAAAGGGCATTGGAGTGTTAAAGGATTGGCTAGTAAGAAAGAAAGATGTATTAGTCTTCTCATTCTGCCATAACAAATCTCTGTAGCCTGGAAGGCTTACACACAGGAATTTATTTCTCATGGTTTTAGAGGATGAGAGGTTTTAGAGGCTGAGGTGCTAGCTGATTTGATTTCTACTGAGATCCCTCTTTCTGGCTTATAGATGGCTACCTTCTTGTTGTGTACCCTCCTGGCCTCTTTTCTGTGACACCCATCCCATGGAGGAAGGGAGGGAAGGAAGAAGGGAGAGAGAGAAACTCTCCTGGTGTCCTTTATGAAAGCACTAATCCTTTTATGAGGACCCTCAGGACCTCATCCAAACACACTTATCTCCCAAAGACCCCACCTTCAAATACCATCATATTGGAGATTAGTAAGTCTTCAATGTGAATTTTAGGACATAAACATTTGGTCCATAGCAAAACAGAGCCCTAAAGACTAGAAGAATTGCTCTCATTTTGCAAAACTCTATGGCTGAGAGAACATCCAAGGGAAAGCACCCCCAATCCTCCCACTTCTGGAACCGAGATCCAAACCTTATCAGGAAAGTACATGGCTTACTGAATGGTTGGCATCAGTGAGGTGCCACAATGGCAGAATGTGTTGGAAAACTGCCCTCTGGAACTTGACAGAGATTCACCCTTGGAGGTGCCTGGGAAAGCTCTTCATGGGAAGCTGGCCTTGCCTGACACTCTGCTAAAAAAATATCCAAGCTGCTGGCTACTAGACACTACAGAAGTTGGATCCTGGAGAAGCAGGAAGCAGGTGCTGGAAAAGCCTCACCCACTGCAAGAACTTTCTAAGGAAGCCTGCTGGAATCAAGAAGAAAAATGCTTTCTTTCTTTAGTGTCTCTCCAGGACCCTCTACCAACAAACCCATACTGCCAGCTAGCAAAAGAGAAATATTTCAAAGGCCCAGATCCATTAAAAAAAAATAAATAAACCAAAAAAGTGGATTTAGAATAAAAGGCAAGAAAACAATGTTCAGGGGCGCCTGGGTGGCTCAGTGGGTTAAGCCTCTGCCTTCGGCTTGGGTCATGATCCCAGGGTGCTGGGATCGAGCCCCGCATTGGGCTCTCTGCTCAGCGGGGAGCCTGCTTCCTCCTCTCTCTCTGCCTGCCTCTCTGCCTACTTGTGATCTCTCTGTCCAATAAATAAATAAAATCTTAAAAAACATAAACCAATGATCAGTCAGTTGCACCAATATAAACTAGAATAAATAGCAGCAGAAGCAAACTAAGTGATGAATATGTTGTTTATTAGCAGGGTAAATTACTTCTCAGTGCCTTTCTGAGTTTTATACCTTGCTGCATCCTCTGTGCCTAGAGTAGAATGTGACTCAGTACAGATGTCCAATAAATATTTGTTGAATGAGTAAGCTAATTAGTTTACTTTTTCTCTAATGTTTTCGTTCTCTCTTTCTTTTGTTCACTATAGCTGATGGATGCACAGATTGGTCTGTCGATATCAAGAAATACCAAGTTTTGGTGGGAGAGCCTGTTCGAATCAAATGTGCACTCTTTTATGGTTATATCAGAGCAAATTACTCCCTGGCCCAAAGTGCTGGACTCAGTTTGATGTGGTACAAAAGTTCTGGACCTGGAGACTTTGAAGAGCCAATAGCCTTTGATGGAAATAGAATGAGCAAGGAAGAAGACTCCATTTGGTTTCGGCCAACACTACTGCAGGACAGTGGTCTTTATGCCTGTGTCATCAGGTATTCTTTTAATTCTATTACTGCTGAAACAATTAAATCATATGCTGATTTCTTATACTTAAGTTTTGCTGCTATCCCTTTCACCTAAAGGTTTTATCTCAGTATTTGTGTGTGTTGCTGCTTTCTAAAATTTAGAACCTAAATCATAAAAAGATGGGATTAGAATTTATATTGAGACATTATTTCTGGCTTATGGAGAAGAGATACCATCTGGGTATCTACTTATGTTGCCAGAAATTACTAAGGACTATGAAATAAAATTTATAGAGGAGATGAAATGTTGAAAATAAAATGTAAGCAAAGACTTGCAGAAAGGATGCATAGTTTATCACTAAATGGGTTGTAACATTTTGTTATTGCCCTTCACAGACAAATAGAGCACAGGTACCTCTGGTTAACACACATCTGTAAAGATGATTTAGGTAAACATTTATATGTGCACTGGAAGACAAAGGCAGCATTGCCATGTTAGGGGAAAAGAAGGCTGTGTTCCAGATCATTCTGTTAACAAAAAGTGGTGGGTCAATATAGAAATTTTCCTGGGTCCCTCAGGGCCAAAGAAAAGTTAATAATAATGGTTATACCTTTAACCACAAAGAAACTCATCACACATCCATACATCTCTGTCTGCTTCTAGAAGAGACATATGTAGTTTGCTTAATGATAATGCATTGAAACAGTATCCATGTAAAACATTAGCAGTTAAAAATCTGTTTAAGTATTTAGCCCTTCATGGATTGTGAATCACACCCTGCATGAATGATTGCAGATGTCATTAGGCTGTAAGAGCATTGGCATAGCAGGGTTCAGGCATATAGGGGGTGCGTTTAAATCTTTGTCTCTTTGCATTTTGGTTTATTAAAAGAAATTAAGCCAGATCTAATGCAATAGATTCTCAATTTGGAGGAGGTCTCAGTGTCTTTAAAATCAAAATTCGACTTTCACTTCTGAAACTCTGATCTGCCACTCTCATTCCACTGTTTGAGGATCATGTCTCCCCCTCACTTTCCCCTATGAGTTACCTTTATGCTGAGTCACAGCCACAGGTGCATTAGGACGTTAAAATCAGTCAGAGTCACATAAGAGTTAAACTTAACTCTTAACCACATAAGAGTTGTTAACATTAACAACATACATGTTGAAGTTAGTTTTGGAAAATATAAATGAATGCAAATAAAATTGTGCTTGGGAAAAATGTCTGATGGACCATAAAAGGACAAATGTATCATTCCTTTGGAAAACTCTTGTTCTTTCCCTTACAGTCTACCTACCAGTCCTTTTATGGTCAAACATATCCCTTATTAGAAGTAGAGATTTTGTAATGACATTGATAATTGCCAAACTGGTACAGTTAAAGAGTATTTTCTGGACTGGGTTTCCCTACTTGACTAATAGTGATTTGATTTAATTTCACTCTGTTTCTTTAAAGATATTATTATTTCTGGTTGTTCATGCATGTAGAGGTGACTCTTCAAGATAGCCAAATGTGTGTCCTCATTTATCTGAGATTAGTAGAATTGAGCTGGATGTCCATAGTCTCACATTTCATTTCATTATTATTGATGAGAAAATAATGATGTGTTCACATTAGTAATCTCAATTTCTAAAGCACTGAAGTTGCTATTCTTTGATGTGTTTAAATATACTCTGTGTGACCCAATGCTCTGAGAAATTAACATGTCCCTGAATTTATAGTTGAAGTAATGAATGAAAGGTTGAAAAGTTACAAAAACAGTGATATTTGCCATATGTTCATATGGCTATGTTTTAATGGAAGATGCACCTTAAAGTTTTGTATGTGTTAAGCAGTATTCTAGAGAAAGAGTAAACTGCAGAAAAAGATATTCTTGTTATTGGAATTTAAGTATTCCAATTGATTTGAAGCTTGTGTTGATATGTCTTTCTTTTTCAGTTTGGAAAGTACTACTCAAAATCATTATAAATGAGCAATTTAAATAGCATTTGTTGGTGTTGGCGTGAGGGGAGCCCAAGGCTGTTAGTCGAGTCACTGACATTTTGGCACATTGTTAGTTCTCAGACCACAAAACTGTCACCATTAGTTTTTAAATAGTCCACTTGCAAAGAACATTGGATATTTGAAAATGTTAGCTTGTACTCATACGTTCTAGTCTTTCTGGGCCTTTTTCAATGAAAAGGTTTACCTGTAAGGCTTTCCATGTACAGCTAATTTGCATTTATATCTGTAGATGTACAATTAAACGGTATAAATAATGGGAACACCTTAAGATTACTATCAGCATAACAAGAGCTTTCCTACCCACTTCTCTTGGTTTCTATTCTGGACACGATAATACCACATAATTCTTTGCTGCATGCTACGTGGCTTTTTACTCAATTTTCTCCTTCAAATATTTTTTTTAATTTTTACATGAAATAGTAGATGAAGGAGAGCTATACAACAGTTTCCTTTATTTTCCTTTGGAGTAAGTTTATCTTATAAAAAATTAAAACTTTCCTGTGGTCTTGACCCCCAGTTTTTAACCCCTCCCCTCTCTTCAGTAATGCCCTATCAGCAGTTTCATATGCAGAGGTAGCCAGCACACAGGTATTTTAAAACATTTCCAAAATATCAACGTACTAAGTTGTTTGGGACCATATTTTTTTTACTAAAATTCTTATTTTGGAGGTGCTTGGGTGGCTCTGTTTGTTGAGCATCCAACTCCTGATTTTGGTTCGGGTCATGATTGTACGGTTGTGAGATGGAGCCTATTCAGCATGAAGCCTGCTCAAGATTCTCTCTCTCCCTCTGCCTCTCTCTGCCTCCCCCACCATGCTTTCTCTCTCTAAATAAATAAATAAATAATAAGATGAATAGAAATAAAATGGATTTTTTATTTTTGAGGTAATTGTAGATTCATATTCAGGTGCAAGTCATATATAAAGAGATCCTATGAATCCATTACCTGGTTTCTCTCAATGGTAACATTTTACACAACTGTCATATAATCTTATAATCAAAGTCTTGGCATTGAAACAGTCAAGATACAGAATTGTGCCATCACCTCAATGATTCCTCTTGTCCCTTATACCTTTCTGCCCATCCAAACCCAAACCCCTGACAACTAATAATCTTTTCTCCATATCTATTTTTTTAAAGCTATTTGTGGTGCAATTGCTTTTTTAAAAAAAGCTTTATTTATTTATTTGACAGACAGAGATCACAAGTAGGCAGAGAGGCAGGCAGAGAGAGAGAGGAAAACAGGTTCCCTGCTGAGCAGAGAGCCCGATATGGGGCTCGATCCCAGGACCCTGGGATCATGACCTGAGCCGAAGGCAGAGGCTTTAACCCACTGAGCCACCCAGGCGCCCCCATATCTATTTTTTTTAATTTAAAATGTTATTAAATGGAATGATATGTTATATAACCTTCTAGAATTGGCTTGTTCACTCAGCATAATTCCTTTGAAATCTCTCTAAGTTGTTGCATGCATCTACAGTTTGTTGTTATTTATTGCTGAGTAGTGTTCCACCACATGGCTGTTGCCACGATGTTTGTTCACTCATTGAAAGACATGTGGGTTGTTTCCAGTTCTTGGTTATTGAAAATAAAGCTTCTGTGGATATTCATGTACATGTTTTTGTGAACATAAATTTTCATTTTTCTGGGAAAAATGCACAAGAATGAATTTGAGTTGTATGGTAGTTGCATGTGTAGTCATATAAGAAACTGCCAAACTATTCTCCAGAGTAGCTATACCGTTTTACATGCCCACCAGCAATTCATGAGTGATCCAGTTTCTCCACAGCCTCGCAACATTTGGTATTGTCATTTTTTTTATTGTCACCATCAGTGTATCATGAGATCTCTCTGGTTTCAACTTATATTTCCCTGTTGGCTAGGTATTTTGACACTTTTTCATGTGTTAATTTGCCATCTCTATCTCCTCTTTAGTGAAATGTCTGTTTAATCTTCTGCTGTGTATTAACTGAATGATTTGTGTTCTTACTGTGAAGTTTTGAGAATTCTTTATATATTCTAGATAATGGTACTTTTTTGGATATGTGGTTTCCAAATATCTTCTCTGTCTATCTGTAGTTTATCTTTTCATCCTCTTAACAAGAACTTTTGCAATGAAGTTCAATTTATTATTTTTTTAAATTTATGGATCATACTTGTGGTGTGAAGTATAAGAGATCTTTGGTTAGCCCTAAATCCTGAAAATTCTGTTTTGTTTCTTTTTTTAATTAACTTTTCTGTCAACAGTTGTATTCTTTCATGTTTGTTTGTGATCCATTTTGAGTTAATCTTTGTGTAAAATGTAAAGTTTATTTAGGTAAAGGTTTAGCTTTTCAGATGGATGCCCAGTTGCTCCAGCATCATTTGCTGAAAAAGCTACACTTCCTCCATGGACTTACTACCTTTGCACATTTATTCAAAAATCAGTTGGGCATGTTTGTATGGTTATATTTTTGGATTTGTATTCTACTCCTTTGATCTGTGTGTCTAGCCCAGTGCCAATACTTCTGTATCTTGGTTAGTGTATATAGAAAGTAGGACTAAATATCAGAGTGACTCCTCCCACTGTATCCTTGTCTTCCAGATTATTTTAGCTATTGTAGGACCTGTTTCCTTTAAAATAATGTTTAGCATAAGATTGTCTCTGTCTTCAAAAATCTTTGCTGGATTATTGATAAGAATTAAACCTATAAATCAATTGGAGGAAAGTCGTTATCTTTACTATGTTAGATCTCCCAACCTCTGAATGCAGCAGATCTCTCCATTTATTTAGAATTTCTTTCTTTGATTTCTTCATCAGCATTTTGTAGTTTTCAGCTACAAATCATGTACACATTTTGTTAAATTTCTATCTCAGTATTTCATTTTCTTTGGTGTGTTTGTGATAGTATCTTCTTAATTTCATTTTCAACATGAGCATTGTTAGTCCTATTAGAAATGTGATTGATTTTTGTGTAATTCCTTTATGAAAACACACTTTTTCAAATGACATACCTGTAATACATTCTATCTAGTAGCTAGT